TTTTAATGGGGATGTTGCATGTATATTAAATAATGGTAAAGGTGGGGAGTTCTTTCACTATTGAACAATGTTGAGCATAATTGACTTGATAAGTTCGCATAACAAAGCTTATTTCTGATTAAAGAAAACTAATGAACAAGTAGGTTATGAGGTGGTCCAATAATTAAATTATATGAAAACACATTATATTATTGTTTCATTCATCTACACCAATAAAATAGATTCTTATACTTCGGTAATTACAGAGCTTAAATAAATTGTTATTTACATGCAAAAGTGAGTTTATTAGCTTGTTTTTATTTACATTATTGCAGTTATTAACTATAGTAGTGTATGTTAAAATTATATCCATAAGTATATAGTAAGTGCAGCTATGTTTGTGACTTGTGTGTGTTTATTTTTATTTTTAACTTCTTAGTTTTTAGATATGGACCGAACTTGGATAACCACAAAAAAATTAGGGGATCCAGAATATGAAGCTGGAGTTATGGAATTTATTAAATTTTGTTTGGAAATTAAAATAATATTGAAGGGGGTGATAAATTGCCATGTCCTTGTCATCTTATGTATCACAAAGCTGATGTGATACTTAATCATTTGAGTAAAAGGCAATTTGATAGAACATATACTTGTTGGCATCATCATGGTGAAAAAAGTGAAGAAATTGCAAGCAAGGATGCTCAATGCCATAATATCGAGGAGGGTAATGAATTAGAAGACATGACAAGTCAATTCGTACAAAGAGTAGAAGATGATCCCAATGCAACGGAAGAAGCCTTTATATGAAGGGTGTAAGTACACAAAGCTATCGCTTCACTTAAGCTATCCAATTTGAAGGTGGGTCATAGTTGGACAAATAAGAGTTTTACATCATTACTTGAGTTCTTGATAGATGTGCTTCCATCTGATAATGTTTTGCCAAAGAATACATATAAGGCAAAAAAAAAACACATTATGCACAATGGGTTTGCGTTATGAAAAAATTCATGCATGTCCTAACGATTTCATACTTTATCGAAATGAAAATGAATAAGCAAAGAGTTGTCCAGAGTGTAATCTCTCAAGGTACAAGAAAAAGGAAGGAGTGACAGCTAAGGATTTTTGGTATTCCAATTATTCTTAGGTTTTAACAGATGTATTCATACCCAGTAGATGCAGAGAAGTTGACATGGCATAAATTTGGTCAGAAAAAGGATAGGTTACTTAGACACCCTGCTAACACACCACAATGGAGATTTATTGATGGAGAATTCCATGATTTTGGTAGTGAAGAACGAAACCTACGCCTTGGGTTGTAATTCATGGTATGAATCCATATAGTTCCCTTAGTAGCATCCATAATACATGGCCGGTCATGCTAGTGGCTTATAACTGACCTCCTTCCTCATGCATGAAAAGAAAGTACACTATGTTGTCAATGCTTATATCTGAATCTAAACAACCAGGAAATGACATTGATGTATATTTGGCACCTTTCATTGACGACTTATAGTTGTTGTGGGTAGAAGGTGTAGAAGTTTTGATGCTAATCGGAATGAAATGTTCATTTTAAGAGCAATGTTATTTTGCACCATATGGTAATCTTTCTGACTATTCTGTAAAAGGGGAAGTTGGTTGTCCTATATGCTAAGATGGTTGGAAAGGAAAATGGTTATCGACATCTAGGAAGACGGTCTTCTATGATCATCGTCCATTTATTCCTTTGGATCATAAGTATCGTAGAATGAAGAAAGCTTTTAATGGGGAACAAAATTTGTAAAGTCGCCCAAAAGTCTTTACTAGCCAAGAAGTATTTGAAAAGGTGAAAGACATTCAACTTAGTTTTGGCAAGTTAAAGAAAAATAAAGATGTCATTCCTAAGAAAGGGTAAAAGAAGTGTTGTGGTTTATGGCGTCATCCTTATTGGAGATTTATCTTTGTCCGACATTCTCTAGATATTATGCATATCGAAAAGAATGTGTTTTATAGTTTGATTGGCACACTATTGAATATCTCGGGGAAGACAAAAGATGGTGTTAACGATTGACTTCACTTGATGGAAATGAATATCAGAAATGATCTCCATGCCGTTGAGACTGGAAAACGGGACTATTTGCCACCTGTTGCTTATACATTGTCTAGGAAGGAGAAAGTTGAGCTTTGTGCATCCTTAGACAGAGCTAAAGTGCTACAGGGTTATTCTTCAAACATTTCTTCTCTTGTTTCAATGGAGAATTTGAAACTCGTGGGTTTAAAGTCTCACGACTGCCATGTTTTTATGCAAGATCTCTTACCTATTGCTATTCGTTTAATTTTGCCAAAAAATGTATGATATGTCATTATTAGGTTATGTCTTTTCTTTAAGGCAATTTACAGTAAAGTCATCAATCCAAAAGATTTGGATTCCTTGGAGACTGAAATTGCTGTTATTTTGTGCCAATTGGAGATGTACTTTTCCCAGGCTTTTTTTATATAATGATACATTTTCCAGTTCATTTGGTAAGGACATTATATTTTGTGGTCCCGTGCACAATAGAGCTCAATGGGCCTTCGAAAGGTAAATGAAAACTTATTAGGGATATATTAAGAATGCTTATTGACCTAAGGCTTGTATCGCTGAGAAATGCTTTATGAGTTAGCTATGGAATATTTCCTTGAAAGTTTAGGAGATATGAGGACAGTAGGGATTTCTACTTCTCAAATACAATGACACACTTGAGGGTAAGGGAACCATAGGTCGTAGAGAACTTGACATGTCTCCTGAAAAGTGGTACATGGTCCACACATATATTCCTTTCAATGAAGATGAAGTTGCACCGTATATTAATATACAAATGAATTTTTTGAAGATGCATAATTGAAAGGCTAGCTCCAAAGCTTTAGCTACTGAAAAAAGTAAAACATTTCATCTTTAGCTCAAGGATGAAGTAATGAAAGAGATCAAAAATTCCTCACAAACTATTTCTGACCGACTTAGGAGTTTAGCTATGGTCCTGATTTCTCTGCCTCATTTTTCTCTGGTAATGCCATTTATAAATACACTTTTTATACTAGGGACCAAGATGATAAAAGCACTATGCAAAATAGTGGGGTATGTGTTGAAGCTGAAGCAATGCATTTGTCTACTGCTAAAGATAATTGACCTATATATAGCAAACTGCAATACTATGGGGTAATTGAAGAGATATGTGAGTTGCATTATATGGGTTTTTTTATACCTATTTTTGGTTGCAAATGGGCTAACAATAATAACAATGTTGTATGCGATGGTTTAGGGAATACTACTATGAATCTCAACAAGATAGGTCATACAGAAGATCCATACATTTTGGCTAGTCAAGCTAATAAATAAGTGTTAAATTTATATGACTGACCCATGTGATAATCAGTTGTTGTCACACCAAAATCTCAATACGTTATTGATGACAATGATGGCAATATTTCTTATGAGGAGAGGTCTACCCCTAGTGAGGTACAAAATGTGGATGATAGCTAGTCTTGATGATACAACAACATATATACGTAGTGATCATGAAGAAGGGATTTGGCATGACAATGAAAATAGTAATGCTAATACCCGGCGTCGTACAGGTTATTATGCTACTACAAAATTTGGTTCTTGTGGTTCTTGTATTGAAATTTATAATTTGTTCTTGATATAGATTTTTGCAACAAATTCTTTATTTTATTTGATTTTAATGACACTTCTTAGCGATGATTTCTAATATATTTGTATGTTTGTAGGTTGATGTCGAAAAAGAGAAAGCAAGCAAGTGCTAATGAGGCCTCTGAAACTGGCGAGGCTGAAGAATTTGTTGAGTGTGAGAATTGAAGGTGTCGTACAATAGCTACAATAGTTGGAAAACAATTCTGAGTGGCGTAATTAATTAATTTTGTATTCACTTGCTATTTTTACTTGTTGCTGTCCAATATTGCTTGTTGTGCTTGTCCTACATTTTTGTGCCTCCTTGTGTAGACCCAAATTAGTGGTGTTGTGGGTGGGTTAGCCTAGTCCATTGCAGGTAGTTTACATCTTGAAATGTACCAAGTTATTTTTAAACAATACTCTCAGAAGCTTCTAAAGTAATGATGCCTGCTTGTCTTGTTCATTTTTCAATATTGTTATATCTGCATCAGCTTCTGTATTTCCCATGCACTTTTTAATTTTATCAATCAGAAGATCTATTGGAATGAGAGCAGAATTTAATTAGGCAAAAATACATTAGCAAACCAAAATTTCACTAGTCACAATTAATTTAGTAAAAGCAAGTCACAATCGATGGGCTTACAAAACATACAAGCTTGTTGATTTTCTGGAAGATAATCCTGCCACTTTGCTAATTATATTTTACCTAAACTTGTATGCTGATATGTAAGGAAGTACAGGAAGCTATTGTGCGTATGTATGCTAGGAACAAGCAGCATGCTACAGTTTCTACTGTTGCGTCTGCTGTTGTTTGGACTCCACCTGCCAGGGGTTATGAAAAAATTAAAGTGGATGCTGGAGTGCTAGGGGAACTGGGTTGTAGCTTCGAGGCTGTTATCTGAGGAGGGTATGGTCAGAGGTTGCTCTGTTGTCCAGTGTTGTGATAAGTGGGAAGTGAAGGTTGCTGAAGCCAAAGCTATCTGGTGGCGTTTACAACTTGCTAGAGAGGCTGGGCTGATGAAAATATTCATAGAGAATGATTCACCTTGAAAGGAGTCTCAGAAGGAAGGAGTTCGTTCCATTTAATCGTGGATGATATTCTAGTTTGTTTCGTTTAATAATTGATGATAATATTGATGTAGCTCCTTCTTATTTATCTATATAATTTATCCCTTGATAGGGTTCCTCAAAAAAAAAATTAAGACTACAGTCTAGCTTCCAGATAATGATCAAGTCTCATTAAAGCTTATTTATTCTAATTTAAGGTAATATTTGAATTATGCCAATAACTAATCATATTTATGCAAAAACCTTTGAAAATTGTGTAATAATTTGTTTGTACATTATTATATTGAAAGGAATTTAGTGACAAGAATCGAGAGAAGGCAAAAATGAATACTTCAAGATATTGAGGAGGTCGAAAAGGGTACTTGTATTATGAACAAGAGATTGTAAGTTTAGCAATGATTATTTTTATTCTTGTTGATTTTGTTTAAAGAATAACAGTAAATATATAATTAACGGATGACTTTTTGTTTTTAAATGGCATTTTGTTATCTATATTGTCAAGCTGCTGAATTTCAGAAACAAGGAGTGCAAGTTAGAGACGAGCCTCGACATTTGGTTTGGATAAGAGCTCATTCCAGACAAAAAGATGGTGTTATGACCTTTGACAATCCTGCCGATTTTGAAATAGCTCAAACAATTGTGAGTTTGTTTCTACTTTTGAATCAAATAAATTATTTGGCTATAATAGATTACATTGCCTTAATTTGGTTGCTTATTATTATTGATGTCAGAAAGCATTGGAGGCTCAAAAAATCCAAGGAGAAATTGAGACCACTGGCTGAAATGATATCTTAGCGAGAGCATTAAAGAATCTTGAACATGGTGGTTGTGTTAAGGGCGTTAGATCGAGTGTTACAAATAAGTTGTACTTTGGTTACAACAAACCAACACAACAAAGTCAATTGCAATCAGATCTTAAGTGTCTCAAATCAAAATTAGAAAATGTGGTTAACACTCAAAATTTGTTATTGTCTTACTTAATGTCAAGTGGTCAGGTTAACGCAGAGCAATTGAAAGAATTTGGTGTTTCAAATGGCAACCAAGTTGGCCATCAGTTAGCGGGTATCCAAGTTGGTGGATCTGGTGGTCAAGGTTTAGGTGGCCTTAGCTTGGGTCATGACCAATGCCTTCAAGGTCTTTGCTTTCAACTTGCCTCAGAGCAAAACAAAGTTACCCATCAGTTAGAAAGTATCCAAAAGGGTGGTTTTGGTGGTGAAGAGTTAGATGATCATTTAGATTGCTTTGGCTTTGGAGGTGACCAAAGGGTTCGAGGTTTCAACTTCCAAGAGTAGAATTTTCAAGTGTTTGAGGTTCAACCTGAGCCATACCATGTTGTGTGGCCTGAGGAGGAATATGTGCCAGAAAATGAGAATTTGGCAACGCATGTACTTAATAATGAACAAGACATTACTGGCCAACCATTTCCAAAGGTAACATTATTTCCTAATACTTATACTTCATTACACATTATGTGCAACATTTCCCAAAAATGGAAGCTACACATTATGTGCAACAAACTAAAACTTTCCTGTTTTAGTAAAAAATTTGAATAAAATTACCAACATACCCTTACTAAAATTCAAATAACACATTAAAACATATATTATTAAGTTATTGATAACTCTAATTAGTTTAATAATTTACACCTAATGCAACCCCAAACTAATCAGATTCATTCTTCCAACCCCAATCAACCCCTGTACTTCATTTCTCACCATCTCCTTCAACCATCTTCTTCATTCCACTATCACCATGGCAAACACCGTACCACCACCAAACCACCACCACCATTACCACCGTACCGATCTCCGATCCACTCTATCTTCATGTACCCATAAATTCCCCCTCTCTTTGTTCATCTCCCCTCGGGCCCTCAAATTCAACAACCACCTTCGTCGGAAGTCGCTGCCATTGTCATGCTTGTCACCATCTCCGCTTTCTCTCTCTTCTTTCTCCTTTTGTTTCATTCTTGTCACTAAAACTCAAATATGAAGGTTTTATGGTCAAATTTAACCATAAAAATTCTAGATCTAGAATTTTAGTGGTTAAATTTGACTAAATAAAGCTTTAATAGATGATAGAGTCGAGTTTCATGGTGTTCAATTGATGATGTGAAGGTAATAGTTTTTCATTTGTATTATTAGGGTTGGGTTTTTTGTAGGGTCGGGATTCATGGTGTTCGATTTTTCTGGTTGGAGGTGGTGGTTTTTGGGGTGGGTATGACTATTTAGGGAGGGTAAGGTGGGTATTTCGAGGTGGGTACGACAATTTCGAGATGGTGGGTGAGGTTTTATGGAAGGGTTTATTTGGTTATGGGTGGATCCTTGGTGGTTTACGAGGTGGGGCAGAAGTCGAGATCTTGGTGGTGGTGTGGTGGGTCTGTGGCTAAGGTGGTTTTCTTCGGTAGGGTGGGCTCTGAGCAGCCTGGTGCGCTGGGGGTGCGTGGGTGGCTCGATACGACGATCTGGCGGTGGTGTTGTGGGCGATCTAGTGGCCTGGTGGGTAGTGTTGTGGCGGGTTAGTGGCCTGGTGGGTGGTGGTGTGGCAGGCAAGTGGCCTGGTGGATGGTGGTGTGGGTTGAATTAATTAATCATCCACTTTACCCTAATCACATGCCCCTACTTTGTTAATTAGGCTTTTTTATTTTTTTCTTGGGAAATGTGTACACCTCTTTGTTGCACATAATGTGTAACAGAGGAAATATGTTTGATGTAAGTACATATACCTAGATTCTTCTGATGGTGTTAAATTATAGACTACTACATCTTATCAATCCACAAAAGGTTTATTAATACCATAATCCATAATCAGGGAGTTGATAGTCTTTGTTCCTTGGCAATTAAGAGTGACAAAGGGGTCAATATAGTTGCTATTGGAGAATTGTATGTTGAGATGGAAGAAGTTGTCAAGCATCATTTCAAGCCCATCCCAACTGGTCATTATCGAGTTTGTGTTAAAGAAGAAATCAACCCAAATGCACCTTTGCCATGTCCTGAAGGGGAGATAAAATTCATTTGTCAAACAAAGAATTATTATTTAATATGGCCTTCTCACTTGTTTTTTCCTATAAAGAAGGTAAAATTCAGTTTTAAATTATAATTATCTGTCACAATATATAATACGATCATTCTTTTTTTTTTTGCTGATTTTTTTTCTTGCGATTATATGACATGACAAGGCTGATAAGCAAGTCACTAAGGAAATCACTGCACCATCTCCACACTCGCCATCATCACAATCACCATGCACTCGAAAGTACACAATAACTCATGCTGATAAGTTGAAATTAACCTGTAATTTGGTTTGAGTATTTTAGGATGTGGCTATTGCAATGAAAACGAGCGGTAAAACCAAATCTTTTACAGTTTCAGCTAGAGTGTTTCAAAATGAGCAATGTGTTACCCTTGACTATGAAGAAATGCTTGACTGGTGCTTCCAAAGAGAGATCAAATAGTCACACGTGTCAATTTTAATGATATAAGTGTTGTATCCTTCGCCATTTTTAGTTAAAATTTATAACGATTTTTTATTAATGAGCTAATAATTTTTAATAAATATTTGATATGCAAGGCATATGAGTGAGATTGTTCATACATAAGGTATCTCAGGGTTGTATGGATTTTGTAATTGCAACTATCTATGCCCTTATACTCCAACTGTGGAAAAAGACGATGATCGATGTGACTATTTAGCTAGGCTCTTTTTCGTGTAATGATGCCAAAAAATCAGCTCTTCTTTGCCCCGTATTATGAGGAGTAAGTGCATGAGTCATTTACACATTTTTATTTTATATTAATTTTATTTCTAATTCCTTTTAAACATTCATTATTGTATTATTGTTTTAATCAATGTATTGGACATTGGATGTTGGTTGTTATTTGTCCATGGGTTGGTTTGGTGCATTGGCTAGATCCCGCGGGAGTAAAAGATGAACCTCTCAATTAAATTTGCTCAAACAATAATCAACAAGTAGATTACTTATTTTGTTACATGTTAACTTCTTTTTATCAAAGTATTTTAATACTATTACTCTAATATTTTGATAATTACTTAGGGCAATGATCAATTTTAGCGCAAAACATCGAAAGGATATCATAAAAATAAAGAAGAAAACTTACATTAAATGAATAAGCATAGAGGTATTTTATCTTAAATTTAATTTTGCAATGCTTAGTGCATACTATATGTTAATAATACATTATATAACTAGGTGTTTAATTTATCCCCCCCCCCCCCTTTGGTTTGTATTAGTGTCCTCGTCAAGCTAAAGGCTCTATTGATAGTGGATATTACGTTTGTCGCTATATTATTGAGACAATTGAATCTAGGCAAATGATCATCCCGACAAGGTACGACATCTAGTTTGAATGCATTTTGAGTAGCTGATGCACACATGCATCTTGCAAATTTTATATGTTGTATGCAAACCAACCTTGTGAGCAGGGGTATGAACTTTTACACTTCTGGGTTTTGAATTCAGCCTTGTGTGTATCAAGCTTAAATGTTTTTCCCTACTAGAATGATAATGCTTAATGGCTTCTGATGCAAGAGTTTTTGCTCACTACTTTATTTGCGCACTAACTTTAGGAAGTTCTCCTTTATCTCTTTTTGGAAAGGAGGCTTATGTCCTTCTGCATTTGCATGCTTATGAGGATACCTTGCTACTCTTTCATCAAATCGGGTTTCATTTTCAGTATCATAAGCTCTGTTTTCATTATTTTTGAATACCTCCTTTATGTCAAAAACTTCTTTCTCTGAATTCAGTCCCTACTCGTCTTGATCTGCAAGTGGATGTTCTATAGTTCGTGCTTACAGGTTTATAACTTCTCTCAGTAACTGCTTCTTTCTTAGGATCGTCATGATTTCCTTCAAGTATTCGTTTAGGCGGTTTGTAGGATGTATTATATTCTTTCACTAATTATGGGTTCTTGTTTTGGGCTAGAAACTTCTGCTGTAGACCCGTTCTAGCCTTGTGAGCATGGGTATGAACTTAGATCAAATATGTACTAGATGTGGCACTAACATAAGCAATTATGCACATGGCTGTTATGTGTATTATGAGCAGCCTTTTTGGTATCAGCTGTTCTTATGAACTTAGATCAAAAAAGATATACTTATATATATTAATTGGAAAATTTGTCAGAAAAAACCATTTATAACAACTTTTTTGTTCAAAAAAACCTTATAAAAATTTTTTGGCCAAGTAAAACCTGATTAAAAAATTATTTTGTTTAAGACGACCTGAGGTCACTTTCCGGCGTTGACGGAACTTTCCCGACGTTGACCTCCCATGTGCAGGTCACGTGACCTTAAATTTTACTATTCCCACCTATTTCTTCTAATCTCACCCCCTAATCTACCTCTTAACACGCTTCCCTTTAAACCCTCCCCCATCTCTGTTCTTATTTCCCCTTTTTTCCTCTCTTTGATTTTCTCTCATCAATTGGAGATCATTCACGAGCTTCGAACTGACAATTCTTTGCAGTATTTGTGAGTCGCAATTGATTTCGGCCATTTAGTTTCGCCCTGTTCATCAAAATCGCAGGTAATGAAAAGTTAGGGTTTTTTTGCCCCTTTTTAATTGGAGTTTCATTATGCACTAACACCATGAATTATGGAGCAACCATGGCTCTATTGAAGGATATGAGATATGAATGTGGGTTTCCTGTTGCAAAGAGGACATCTTGGACCCACGACAATCCTAGCAGGAAGTTCATTGCGTGCAAGTTTTACAACCATGAAACTGGTCAGAGAGGCTATGATCAGGGGCGGAAGATAGTAGGGGCCAAAGGGGGCCAAGGCCCCCTCAAGTGAATTGCTTTACATTGGTAATATTTGGATTTTAGTACAAGTAAAAGTATAAAAAATTCATCTGGCCCCCGCCAAACAAATAAAAAAAAATTAATACAAAACCAAACTCACACTTTATGTACTAATATTAACGCATGTGATGAGTTTGGTACTTGATATTTCTAGATTCTACTATATTATATTGTTAGATAAGACAAAATATAAATATTGCAACTAAATAAAAATAAAAGATAAAAGAATTATCTAATAAAAAAATAACAACTTGCAAACATTACAATTCACTTCAACACAAAATTACAAAAGGAAAGCAGTGAAAACCCCCAAAGTGACGAAACAAACAGTACATATCACCATTGAAGTTTCTTGCTTGTTGTTGTTGATTTTCCTTAATTCAGGTAATTTAATTATCAATTTCTACTTAATCTTGTTTGTTTACTTCAATTTTCATATTAATTACAGGTTTAGTGTGTTGAATAAATAGTTAGAGTGAGATTTTGAATTAGAAATTTTGGGGTTTAATACTCTAATTGTATATGTAAATCAGTAAATGTGTAAATCCAAACAATTATATGAAAATTGTGAATAATTAGAATAATTAATACAATTGCAATTATACTTGATATATTGCCCAATAATCATTAGATTTGATTATGCTTTTTTTGCTGTTAATTTTTGTAATTTAGGAATGACAAAGAGGACTATCACTTCTTATTTTCTTCCACAAAAAAAGGGCAGGGGTGATGAAGATATACCTGTTGTTGAGCCAAATCAGCCAATTATCATTGATAATGAAGAAGTCGAACGTAATATTAATAATGACAATGTTGATGAGCAAATGCCTAATGAAGAAGGTATTGGTCTTGATTTTTTAATGCGTGATCCTAGGTTGCGTAAGCAAATTGAGACATATGATTCAGATGAAAAAGATTTGATTAGGAGATCTTACATTGATTTTGGGCCATATCAACCTAAACTTGATAATTATCCATACTCTGGTTCCGAAAAACACCCACGTAGGTTCTAAAAAAGTTGGTTTGTGAAGTTTCCTTGGTTAGAGTATTCTCCCACAATGGATGCTGCTTATTGTTTCTATTGCTTTCTTTTTGCTAAAAAGCCTCTTGGAAGATGTGGTTCGGATACATTCACAGTGAAGGGCTTTAAAAATTGGAAGAAAGTAAATAATGGGAAGGATTGTGCATTTTTGTGTCACATGGGGAAAGATTCCAATTCTGCTCATAACTTTTCAACAAAGTGTTATTTTAATCTCAAAAATCAATCCGCTCACATTGAGAAAGTAGTAGAGAAAGTAACTGCAGAGGAGATTGTCAAGAATCGTTTACGCCTTAAGACATCAATAGATGCTGTTAAATGGTTAACTTTCCAAGCTTGTGCATTTAGAGGGCATGATGAACGTTCTAGTTCAATTAATCAAGGGAACTTCTTGGAGATGCTAAAACTTTTAGCATCATATAATAAAGATGTTGATTCGGTTATTTTGGATAATGCCCCAAAGAATGCCAAATACACTTCTCCACTAATCCAAAAGGAGATTCTACATGTTTATGCAAGAAAAGTGCAAAATAGTATACGTGAGGAAATTGGTGATGCAAAGTTTTGTTTGATTGTTGATGAGTCTAGGGACATTTCTAAGAAAGAACAAATGGCATTAGTAGTGAGATATGTTGATAGAAGTGGATTGGTAAGAGAGCGATTTTTGGATTTGGTCCATGTCAAAGACACTACATCAAAAACATTAAAAAGGGAAATTTGTGCTGTCTTGTCTCATCATAACCTTAACCTTCAAAATATTAGAGGTCAAGGGTATGACAGTGCAAGTAATATGCGTGGAGAGTGGAATGGGTTACAAGCTTTATTTATGAAGGAGTGTCCTTATGCCTATTACATTCATTGTTTGGCACATCAACTACAACTAGCTCTTGTTGCTGCATCTAGGGAAGTGCCACAGATTCATACTTTCTTTCAACAATTGATTTTTGTTGTTAATGTGGTCACTAGCTCTTCAAAGCGACATGACGAGTTACAAGCAACTCAATTGGCTGAAATTGAACATCTAGTTGAGATTGAGGGGCTTGAGACGGGAAAAGGTCTCAATCAAATCGGTAAATTACAACGACCAGGTGATACTAGATGGAGCTCGCATTACAAGTCAATATCTAGTTTGTTAAGAATGTATTGTGCTACTCGCTTAGTTCTTGCTAACATAGCTAGTGAAGGAACAACTTATGCTCAGAGAGGAGATGCTCTTAATGGAGTTAAGTTGTTAATGTCATTTGAATTCGTATTTAACATACATGTTGTGAAGGAGATTATGGCCATCACCGATGGACTTTGTCAAGAACTACAATTGAAGACCCAAGATATTGTAAATGCAATGCATTTAGTTTGCACTACAAAGACATTACTTCAAACTTTAAGGAATGATGGGTGGGAGAGTTTGCTACATAATGTTAAAGTTTTTTGTGAGAAAAATGGTGTTACAGTTCCCGACATGGACTCTCCTTATGTTGATGTGCTTAAATCTATAAGGCAACAATCAAGACAAAAAGACAATGTGACAATGGAACATCACTATAGAGTTGATATATTTATGGCTGCTATAGATCGTCAATTGCAAGAGCTAAACGCAAGATTTAGTGAGCGAGCTACTGAACTTCTCATTTTAAGTGCGGCCTTGAATCCAAGAGATGGTTACAAGTCATTCAATATAGAGCATATTTGCAAGCTAGCTCGAGATTTTTATCCTATTGATTTCACAGAACATGAGAAAGATCATTTGAGTTATGAATTGCAACATTATTGGCTTGATATTCCTATTCATCCAGTGTTGAAGAACTTAACTACTCTTGGTGATTTATGTCAAGGATTAGTGACTACAGAAAAAATAAAAGATTATCCTCTTGTTTCAAGGTTAATTCGTCTCGTATTAACTCTTCCAGCATCTACTGCAACAACTGAGAGAGCTTTTTCAGCCATGAAGATAGTGAAAACAAACCTTCGAAGTAAGATGGAGGACGATTTTTTGAAGGACTACTTAATAGTGTATATAGAAAAGGAGATAGCGGAAACACTTAGTGAAGATGCCATCATTGATGCTTTTTATATGATGAAAGAGAGACGAGCACAACTAAAATGATATAAGATAAATGATAAGGTATGTTTTTCTTCATGTAGTACTATGGTAATTTTTTTGGAATATGTTCTATAACTCTATATTCATTGCTTATATAAAATATATTTTTGTTGTTGTGATATGTGGATTAATAAATTGATGTGTGAAAATGTTCATTATTTTTATCGTCGTCGTAGTTCCCTTTACTTTGGCCCCCGTTAAATAAAATTCCTGGTTCCGCCCCTGGCTATGATAAATTTGAGTGGGTTGATGAAGGTGTAATTGATTGGCAGAGAGATGTAACAAATGTCCTAGTAGCAGAGAAGCACAGACTTTGTACTGATCTTAACATTATGAGAGCAAGGCTGTCATGTGTGGAGCATGAGAAGGAAAGATTAGCTAAAGAAGTGGAAAAGCTGAACAACAAAATTTGGAGAAGGAACAATACAGCTGGAATGGAAAAGGGAGATGGGGTTACGTATGGGTCTATAATTTGCGTTTGTGTTATTGTATCTGTTGTTGTGAGTTTCATATTTGTGAAACTCTTTGGGTAGAATTAGTGAGGTTCTGCAGTAAGTTGGTTAGGTAGTTAGTTGTGCTAATTATTTGTACTTTTGAATATAGTTTGAATTATGAGTATATGAAATGAAAGTTGCATTTGATTTCCTTAAATTGTGTTTGCAAATTGGTATAATGGTAGTCAATTATAAGAAAAACTGACACAACTTCATATCTGTTCAAAATAAGCAGTACATTATAAGTGCCAAATATAAGCATTTCCTTACAAACAAGGACTTGGTTCACATAAGTACTTAGTTCAACATAAAAACAAACTGAAATAATTGTATCTTGCAAAATACAGAGTAAGTGGCCTTCAAATCATGGATTGCTGCTTTGTGTAGGTAGTTCCTGAGACTGTTTTAGGGGTGGATATCCAGTTGCAGTGCTGAAGTCTGTGATGCACCATCATGCGGAGATTGAGTTCCACCTTTCTTCTTCTTGCATCCAAGTTGTTTTACAGATGACGTTTTATGTTTTGCAACACCATCAGAAGCATCACCTTTCCCCTTTTTTGTAGATGTAGCACTAGCAGCACCCTTTCCCTTTTTTGATGCAGCAGCTGTTCCCACACCCTTCCCCTTTCTTTGTGTTCCATCAGAAGCAACAGTATGAGCTTTCAGTTGAGGAGTTGTGACATGAACAGTAGCAGTTAGAGTGATGGTTGTTGTAGCCTGAGAATCCGTGTCTTTAGGAAATGCATCAGCATTCCTACCTCTTCCCTTAGGAACTTTTTGCATAGTTGGATTGGTGCATTTAGTCTTGTAATGACCAAGACCACCACATTTGCCATACCTGTTTTGCTTCTTTGCCCTTTTCACATTTTGTTTTTCTTGATCTTCACCTGGTTCCTTCACTCTCTTTTTCTTGTTAGGCCTACCAGGCATAACTCTATGTGGAGGGGGAAATGGTTTTGGGTATGGGGTCAATTCCCATTGGGTCTGTCCAGGCATGGCTCTAAAGGATGGGGCATAGGTTTTGGCATATGTTTGGATATGATATGCAGGGTGTATGAAGTCCTCATAGTTTAACCTTCTCAATTAGATGCATGCTAATGCATTTCAACAAGGTATACCCATAAGAGTCCACTTGTAACAAACACATGTTCTATTCTCTAAATTCACCACATAAGTGTCATCTTCATGATCAACCTCAAATTCATTTAGGTAAGCTTGATTTATTCTCATTGCACTTGCTTCTTTTAGACCCATATGCACCATTTTCACTACACTAGGCATTATGACACCCTCAAAAATTTTTAAGCCCTCCCTTTTAGCACAACACCTTTGAATAACGTACCTCCTAATCCATTCCATTAATTGCAAAATAGGTTTTGATCTAGCCTTTCTTAATACATTGTTAAAACTCTCACAACAATTATTAAGGAGCATACCAGATTTTCTAGCCGAGGTAAAAGCATGTCTCGACCAGTGTTGTGCTGGGATTTCAGATAAGTACTTGAAGGCATCCTCATTCAATTCCTTGATTGTTGCCATATGTATGTTGAAATGATGCTGCATTTAAGTAATCATACTTGGTTATATATGCACTAAAGCACTAAAAATACCAAAAAATAACATATTTAAGTTCTAAACCATGGCAAATTGCAATTGCATACCACAGTTGATGACCTTGCAGCCTTCCAGAAATGTTCTTTGTATACCACACCTGGAAATTTTCCCTTAAAGTTGGTCCAAATGTGTCTGCAACAGTATCTTATGTCTGCATTGGGAATAGTTGTCTTAAATGCATCAATCAAACCCTGAATTTGATTTCAAGTTAGAATACAGAACCGGAATTTACAAGCAAGGAAATACACATATTCTTAACAACAACTGAGTAGAAACTACCTTTTGTCTATCTGACATGTAAGTCAGATCCTCTTTCTCATGCACCCATGTTATTGAATTTGCAAATGAACCTAGATCAGCTTTCAACAAGCCCAAGAACCAAGTCCAAGTCTCTGAGTTTTCAGTATCAACTACTGCCCAGGCAACAGGAAAGATGTTTTAGTTTCCATCTTTTCCTACTGCTGTGAGTAAGATACCTGGATAGGGTCCTCTTAAGTGTGCACCATCTACACCAAGGATAGGTCTGCACCCTGCCATGAAACCCTCTTTGCATTCCTGTAAGCAAATGTACAACCTCTGAAAAAGAGGTGGTGGATTCTCAATCCCTGTCACCTTCACCTTTGTTGTAGATCCTAGGTTATACTTTATGATTGTGGCTGCATAATCCCATACTCTGCTATATTCTAAGTTTGCATCTCCAAATATCATCTTAAATGCCTTAGCTCTAACATAGTATGCCATATAGTACCCTATTTCAAGTCTAAGCTCTCTCCTTTCTCTCTTGATAAAAGCTTGAAGTTTCATGGAAGGATCATCTCTCCAATCCTTAACATATCTTTTAGCCAGATACTGTGAGGACAACTTGGTATTATGATTTTGATGGCTGCATATGTGCCTCAATCTTAGACTCTTGATCTACCAGGTATCCTCATCTTTCAACTTACAACAGTAAACCTTGAATCTGCACTTTCTCCTATCTTTACACTTGCACTCTAAAATCCTAGCCCTTTTCCAAGGACAACTACACCTTTTCAACAAAAAACAGTGACCCTACTCCTATTATTGTGCAAATAATAGTAGTCATATCCATTTTCAATTGCATGGTATCTAAGAGCTTTCCTAAATATTGAATTGGAGGGGAACTTCAACCCTTTACTCGGAGCAATGTTTCCCCTAAAATCGGTAACTGGATTGAACACTGGATAGTCAGGACCCTTATCATCTGATCCTATCAAGCCGACTACCTTATCATCACTATCATCAAGCACCACATCATCTTCCAACTCTATACCATTTGCATTACCATCCTCATCTTCTGCCTTATCATCATGATGTACTGTAACAGCACCTAAGCTCCTAGACACTCTCTCTGTTATGTCAAGGTCCACATACCTCTGGAACAAATCATCATCATCATCTTTATCATCATAATCCTCATCAGTTAAATAAGAAACATCCTCACTGCCAGATTTGTCCTCTCCATCCACTAACTCATCTTCATGTATTGGTTTCTCAAAATGATCAGCAATTTCAAGCACTTGATGATTATCATCTAAAGGTTCCACTACACCAGCTGCATTCCTATTTTCTACTTCCTCAAACTCTTTTTGTTGTAAGGTTTTTTTCTGGCAGCTTCTGCCTTTCATCCCCTATAACAGAGTTGTTGATGCTTATGAAAGAGGTCTGTTTTGAGAGTGAATTTGTGTTTGAGGGTTGAATACTTTGAAAGTTAGGTGGGAAGTTGGTGAGGGAGGCTATGTTTGATGGATCACTTGAGACAATTATAAGGGTGTTTTCTTCAGATCTAGGGTTTTTGTGGGCCATATTAGAAGTGCTTGCTGACTCACCACCCTTGACCCCACTCTCAGCCAAGTCACTAGATTCCCTAACATCAGTCTCAGAATCTGTATACACCCCCACCCCTAGTTCATAAGCCAATGTGTTATAAGTCTTTTTTTTCTTTTTAGACCAAGTACAGGTGGTACCACCCATCCTTTTTTGGTGACTGCAGAAATTCAGGAATCTCCACATCACTCTTTATTTGCTTCCTCCCATTGAACAAACTACACCCATGCTTCCTAAACCATATTACTCCCACATCAGCATATCCTAACTCATTTTTTATCCAGTAGACAAACATAAAATAGCACACTTCACCTACATTTGGATGAAGTGAAACCCCATAATAATCATATTCCCCCTTTTCATATGATGTTTGTTTGCTCTTTGTTACAAAATCCCCACCATAGTACAGCCTAATGTCAATGGCCTCCATTAATTTATACCAAGGATTAAACACGTTATCTCTACCGTTAAAACTGATTCAATTAACAGCATACCAATACCAAATTCAGATTCAGATTCAACAACACACATGCAGAAAAGGAATTATTATATAGTTAACACACCAAACATAACACACAAATTTTCTGACTTTATGGTTCCCAAAACGACAATTTTTTACTCCAATTAATTCATCAACAATATTATACTCCAATTAATTAATCAACAAACCCTAACATAAACAATTTTTAAATTAATTTTGTGTAATTCCAAAAAAACAATTGAGAAAAAAAACATACTTGGGTTTATATATGACTCTGTAATTGGTCCCCCTTACTTTCTTCGAACAAGTAGCTACTACCTTCTTCGCCTCCTTCCTTGCGTTCTTCTTCGCCATGGCAGAGAGAATTGAGTTTTGTTCAGCAAAAAAAACCCAAAAAAGGAAAGAAACAAACTTTAAAAAGAAACAAATTAAGAAACTTACTGTTAAAGGTGGGTGTCAATTTAATTCAATTAGCATCTTCATTTATTAAGCATGCAAACAAAAAGTGACGCCATGGCAGAGTGTTAGTTGAAGAAGATTAATGACCTCCTTTGTGAAGAGAAGAGAGAGAAAATGAGGGAAAATTAAAAAAATTAAAGGGAAACGTGTTAAGAGGTATATTAGGGGGTGAAATTAGAAGAAATGGGTGGGAATAGTAAAAATTAATGTCACGTGACCTGCACATGGGAGGTCAACGTCGAGAAAGTTCAGTCAACGCCGGAAAGTGACCTTAGGTCGTCTTGAACAAAATAATTTTTTAATCAGGTTTTACTTGGCCAAATAATTTTTATAAGGTTTTTCGGAACAAAAAAAAAGTTGTTATAAATGGTTTTTTCTGACAAATTTTCCTATTTAATTAGATGAATTATTTAATATTATTAACTAATATATATGTGTAGACACCTAAAAATATCTCCCCAAAACCAAACCCGATGATAAATAACCTTTCACCGCCTCTATTGGTCGGGTTTAGACGTTTAGTATTTAATCCCGAGAGTGCTTAAAAAATCGTATTTTACTAAATTCATACTTTTCAAAGGCCATGGATTAGTCTTGATGTTTGGTAAAAGCATAGTTTTTATTTAAGCCCAAGCTTATTAATTAACTTTAAGCCCAAACCTTTTTATTTTATTGTTTCATTATTTATTTTTGGTCCAAACATTTTATTTTATTATTTTCTTATTTTAGCCCGAATAATAAAAGTCAAAAAAAGGCTCGAAATTATCAATCGGCACTTAAAAAGCCGAAATAAATTAGGGTTAAAAATGAATTTAGACGGAAAAATGGATTGGAAGTGACCGTGTCACGGTACAGTCTGACCGTGTCACGGGAACCCTTTCCGTCTGACGGTGGGACTTCTTCCCGTGACACGGGAGGTCTGCCGTGACACGGGACGTTCCGTGTCCTTTCCGCGTAAACCCTTAACGCGTTTTTCATTCCGTTTTCTGAAAATTTCCCGCGTCACTCCAAAGTTGTACTGTGTTACGGTAAAGTGTACCGTCTGACGGTACAGTCTGACCGTGTCACGGTACAATCTGACCGTGTCACGGGATACTTTTTTAGGGTTTTTATTATTTTAGGGTTCCGTGTGCTCCCTCAGTACATTTTCCCTATAAATACCCCCTCATTTCTGATGTACGGGGCAACCAGAATTTTATTATTCTTATTTTCTCTCTTCTATGCTTTAACCTAAACACTAGTCTACCCTTTTCACTTCAAAATTCCTTCTTCAAGCACTCAAAGGAGTCCATATTTTACTCGAGGTTTTGTCCTTAAGCCAAGGCGTGAAAGGTAGAATCGTTTGAGGGTTTGGCCCCAAAATCAACTTTAGCTTTATTTAATTTAATTTAATTATTGTTTTTCCTTGAAGTTATTAACTCGTTTATTATTTTGTAGTTGCAAGCAAACAAATTCAAAGTAAGGATCATGCTCTTTTATTATTATTATTTTTTTTTTTCTAACAATTTTATGTTGTTGGGATTGTGATTAAATTGGTATTAATGTTGATTCTATTATTATTTTTATTATGATCACCATATTGCATGTTTAAAGGGAATATGTAATTGAAAATCACGACTAATAAGATAATTTGCACAACCGGTTTAGGATCCTTTTTAATCTTATTGTTAATTTAAGTGATCACCAAATTTTTAGAATTATGTGTCCATTAATTTTAAACCAATTTAGTTAAATAATAGTTTGGAGCGAATTGAATTATTGTTTGTATGCCTTTGAGATCACAGGAATGTTTTTCAATATAAGAATCGAGTAGAGGCTAATACGGGCGAATGTGACTCCATGACTCACTTCGTACCATCATCCCCGATCCTCCTTTCGTGGTTCCGAACCATATGGAGTTAGTAATCTCATGGATTATGAATGGGGTGTAACCTTCACGGGTCAATCGTTGTTGCCTTCGTTGTCCCTTATTCGTGGTTGCCTTTTATGATCCGTGAACGGTTTACAAGTTCCTTAAAAACTTGTTGGTGGCTCCCTACTTTATTTGTCCCTAATCGTAATGTCAATTCCCACTTCCTATGAGTGCCAAGCATATTCACACATGCTTTAACGTAGGCGCACTTTGAGCGACGCCTACAATTTGGCGACTCCACTGGGGAGGATTCTAAATTATTTATCGATTTGAGTGATCGGTATTTATTTACGATGAGTGGATGAGACTTGAAAGATTCTTAAAAAAATATTCCTGTGATTAATTTGGCATTTTTTGCATCTGCATAGACGTTTTAACGTCGCATTCAGGTCTGTCCCGTAGGAAAAATTGGATAAATTGGTTGCGCGCAAAAGCACATAGGGCACCAGTCAGATTTTCTGAATGCCGTGTCACGGCAGTCCTAAAATCAGTCCGGTGACCTATTTTCTTTTCTCACAGCCGACTTTCTTCAATTTTTCGGAACAAACGTATGTGTTCTACATGCGTCTTAGCCCCGGGGGATTTAAGCTCTATCAACCCAAAAACGCTCATGGCAATAAGGGTTCATTCGAGTTATTAAATCCACCCAAACCATGGAGTCGAGTTCGATTTCATCACGAACTCGCGGAGCCGCCCGTTGGCATACACCCTCAAGGGAGGCTGCCTTGCTAACGCGTCCAAACTCTTAACCATGGTACCCTTTGACACCCAAAGCTTGACCAATAGTTGAACATAGATCTTGACTCTAGGTTGCGAACTTTTACATCATCGTGCCTAAATGCTATGTGGTTGTTTGGTGCTAACCCTCATGTGTTTTCTCATTTTGTTTAACCCATGACCGAGGGTTTTTATTCCCACGTAGTAATTAGTACGGACTTAAAATCGATTAAAATATGAAAAAATCACAAAACTGACCTGGAACTGCGCACCGTGTCACGGCATGTTCTGTCGTGTCACGGTGAACACTGCCGTGACACGGAAAAGTTTACGTCTGACGGTAGACTGCACCGTGTCACGACAGTCTGCACCGTGACACGGTGCCCAGGAAAGTGTCCTGTCAGTCTTTTTCTCGATTTTTGTGCGAATGCTGTGTCCAGTTTTGAGTCGTGTCTAGCTATACGGTCAAAACACGCGTCTATAACTTCACTTAATCACTCACATATCCTGTTCACACTTTTTTTGCTTTAAGTCGTGCACCACTTTTTTGACCGTATTTTAGGGAAGTCTTGTTTTTGTGTCGTTTTTTTTTTCGGAGTAAGTCGGATGGTATCCTCCCTTTAAAAATAAACAAGTAGAATTTCTAAATTATAGATTTTTTTTTCAAAAAAAAAAAAATAAATAAATAAATATTCCCGTGACACGGGATTTTTTCCTGTCTGACGGGAGAAATTCCCGTTTCACGGCAAAAAAAAAAATAAAAAAAAGTATTCCCGTGACACGGGATTTTATCCCATCTGACGGGCGAAGTTCCCGTATCACTGCAAAAAAAAAAAAAAAAAAAGTTAAAAAAAAAAAAAAAAAATCTCGTGCCACGCCAGCATCTACCGTGGCACGGGAATGGCTGCCGCGCCACGGGAAACCCTACCGTGTCACGGCAAATTTCCACCGTGACACGGTGGAATTTTCAAAAAAATTCAAAAAAAGCGTCAGTCAAGTCTTTTGTGTTAATTTGGTCCTCGCGTCAGTCATTTTGGTTATTGTTCACATGTTTAGCCATACGATCATACCACGAGTCTTATAACATCACTTAGTCACTCACGAGTCAAGTATAGTCCACACACTTTCTTTATGTTCCGACTCGAGTCGTGCACCAGGTCGTTTATGATCGTATATTAGGTTCATGCACCCTTTTTTCGTCATAATAAAAAATGAGTGGAGTTTTCTCACCTGTTTTCAAATGTCTATTTTTTTTCCTTCCTTTCCTATCTTGAGCAATGAGTCAAACAATTAACTGAATTATTTTATTTCACAGTACTTGTTCAAGGAACAGAGATAGATCAATACGGTTCGAGCCATTACCGCAACAATCTCTCAGATCTAATAGGCGTTCAAAGAGAACTTTGTCATCTCCGTTACTCATCACCTTTCAATGGCCACTAAAGAAGACATTGAGAACATCAACAAATCCATTGAGGCACTGTCTTCCATGATGCAAACCCTTACCACTAGGGTCACTACCATGGAACAAAACAAGGTCACTGTTTCCACCCTTGACAAACTGAAGGAACAAATGAGTAAGATTTCTGAGGCTTTCACTTATGTGGAACGGCCTCCCACTTCTTTGAATGTGAAGGACAGACTCGCTGAAAAGTTCTCCACTGCTGATATTCCAAAGTTAAAGCCTCTCCTTAGAACATGCTTGCCAACAATGGTTCTATTCCCTAGATGCCAAGCGTACTGCGACTTGGCAAGATGTCACCGAAAGTTTCATGAATCGTTACAAGTGTAACATTCAAACTAAAACTTCTGAACGTGAACTCTCCATTCTCAAACAGAAAGAGAATGAAGGTTTAACCGCTTACCTGAACAAGTGGAGGGAAACAGCTACACTCTTGGTAGATCCTCCCAAAGAAAGAGAGATGGTTCGCCTCTTTATTCAAAATCTGACTCATAAATATAGGGAACATCTCAAATTTCTTCCACTGAACACTTTCGAAGCTGTATACAACATCGACATCAATATCGAGGATGAGCTAATAAAGACTGCTGGTAGTAACAATAATAACACTTGGAAAAACAAGAAGAACGACCATCCTTCTACTTCGTCTTCTAAGCACGAAAATACTACCAACAATATAAGCCAAGTTGATCTCAATGAAGTGTTAGCTCTTACTCCATTGCCCAAGAAGAAAAGAACTTACACTCCTTTAGGAATGACTTATGATGCGGCCTTTGATCGCCTTTACAGTTAAGGCCTGATCACACCTATTGGGCCATTTCCAGAGCCAAAACCTGAAGAAAGGAGCGCCAAATGCAATCCCAATGCCCATTGCAAGTACCATCAAGGAAGGGGCCACACTACGGATCAATGTTGGAATTTGAAGGACGTCATTCAAGACTTGATGGATGCAAATAAACTTCATGTCCCTCCAGACGGCAGGAAGTAATGAATACAAGGCACACAGATCCTTCGTGCAAGATTTCATGCTTTTTTTTATTCTTTTGTTTCGACCGTCTCCCCCAATAAGTCTAGCATAGGTTCACGTTATCCATGTGTCTATGTGTCACATTTCTTACCTTCTTCATAAATGAGCATCTCTTTCTTACATTCGATCATGTGATTAGCAAAAAAAAA